GTCAAATGGTGGGCTCGATGAAGATTTTCAGTGATGGGGTTGGCCGGAAAGAAGTTGGCAGAGTGCGACACTTGAGGTGAAGGGTGATGGCGAAAAGAGGAGTCAAGGGGGTAATGGGTTGGAATGGTGAGGCGTCGGGGAGTCGGAAAATGGGATAAGGGCAATTTCCTTCATGGGAAAGTGCCAGAAAATGGTCGGAGACGATTGGTGAACAAGCAGCTGGTGTGGCCAGGAAGTGATGGGGTTTTGATGACGGTGGGGGATGAAGTCGATGGTAGTGGAGGGAAAAAGAAGAAGATGGGTGGAGGCAGAGATAAGCACGAAATGGGAAGGGAAGAAGAAGAAGATGGGAGGAGGAGGCGGAGATAAGGACGAAATGGGAAGGGAAGAAGAAAAAGATGGGATGATGAGGCGGAGATAAGGAAGAAATGGGAAGGGAAGAAGAAGAAGAAGAAGGGAGGAGGAGGCAGAAATGAGGAAAAATTGGGAAGTGAAGAGAAAAAAAAAAATGCCCATTTTAGGCCTTAACTATTAAAATAAATGAAATGGTGTTACTTTAAGGATGAATATTTGAAATAAATGAAACCAGGGGTATTAATAAGTTTTCACTAAACCTCGGGTAGGAATATGTTGTCTACTCTATGCAGACAAATTAGACTCTGTTTATCACTTGACTAATCAATGATGAATGACACTTTGAACGGTGCAAATCGACCATCCAAATATTTGAAATCAAAACAAAAATGGGCTTCTCTTAATCAATAGCATATTCTGTTTTCCTAAAATAAATATAATCTAACAAGAATCTTTCCTTAATGATTCCAAGCCACTATATTTATTTATTTTTTGACTTCTATAATTATTTTAATATGGTTTGATTGAAATGTATGGTTTTTCTTCTTTTAAATTAAAATTATTATTGTTTTACAAGTACACGATAATAATTAATAAGTGTATTATTAGTTCTGACTTTCCCTGTGCAATACCTTTTCTGGGCATACATAACCAATTCAATCATCGTACTTTCTCAAAATTTATAAGTATTAATTTTTATTTAAGAGTAAACGACTTTTTTCCCACCCAAATAATGACTTAATGACACTTTTTCACCTACAGAATTTTAAAATACTATTTTATTATCTAAATTTATATTTTATTTCCAATTCCGGTATCGTTACGATCCCAGATCACCATCATTCTTTTCCCTGATTATCACTCACCATAACCTCTCAATCCCTACTCCCGTCGACCCCGTCAATCGTCGATAATCGAGCAATTAGGGTTTGTGTAGCCGCCCTTCAAAGTCAAATTCTGATAAATCCCAACCACTAAAATTCAACATTCCACCACCAAAAGACTCATTGACCTTCCATTTTCAAAAACCCCAACAACCTGCACTGAGTTTACTCTTTGTTTGTCGTTAGAATATAAATTTGGATAATAAAATAATATTTTAGAAGTCGACAGATAAGAAAGTGTCATTAAACCATTATTTGGGTGAGAAAAAGTTGTGAACTCTTTATTTAAAGAACAAAAATAGCTGTAAAATTAGTAACTTACCAATCATATTCTTAATGAAACAATAAATAATTTATTGATGATATAAAACGTTAGATTATGCTAGACTATTGACTATACAAAACTCAATAGTCTAGTACTAGTTAAAACATGGAGATAATTTCAGAAACCCCTGAAGTATTTCGTAAATACATAAACCACCTCTCATTTTGGATATTGCTATCAATCCCCTGCCGTTTGTCAAAGTTATCCAAATCCTTCACCTGACAGATGCAGATCATTTAAAGACCAATTTTAACCCTATTATTAAAAAAATAAAAAAACTTTTTAATTCATAGAAAAAATTAATAAATACAAAGAGAAGCACTCTTTCCCCCACATTTTCCCTCTAACCTTCGTTATTGGCCAAAAACAAAAAAAACCCGGCAGCTCTTCTTCTCCCACCGCCCTATCACCTTCACCTCCTATAAAATCCAGCAAAATCAGAAATGAAGCAAAAAAAACAAAAAAGATCAAATACTAATCTGAAAAACCATGAGACCACAGCCCTTAAGCCGCCATTCTTCATGCGCCAACAACCTCCATAGTCCATCCCTACCATTTTCGCATCACCACTACCATAATCGCCTCTCAACCTCCATCCCCACCACCGTCACACCACTACTACTATACTCCGAAAGCTTCCCTCCTTAACCTCAACATCCAGCAGCAACCCATTAGCCATTCCCATTAGCAATTCTCTACTTTTTCAGGGAACATTAAATAATCCAAGTACCATATCACATCAAAATTCCAAAAACTTCAAACAAAAAACATTTTGTTTTAGAGGTGGGAATTTGGGCCTAGAACCAAAAAACCGGGCTGGGCCTAGGACCGATCCTCACAATGACCGATCCTATAAGGTCTGGTCCCAAAACCGGACCAAGCCCATGGAGGAGGGCTCAACCCCAGGTTCAGTCCCTCCTCCAAGGCTCGGGCTTGGGACCCATCCCAAACCCCTCGTCCAATTTTGTTTAAGCCCCTAGTAAATATCCAAAACATTTTATAGGAAATACACAACAACCTGTCATGGGCCTATAGGATCGGTCCTAAGGACTAGTCTGGGCCCTGAAAAATTCCATAGGCCCAGGACTCGTGTATTAGGTTGATTTTTCTGGCTAAATTCCGATTGATTTCGACGTCCAAAATTCAATCCGACACCACCCCTTAAACCACCGCTTCCACTCTAAAAAACCCCTTTAACCCCAATATTTGGTAGCCCCTTGTTCGTTGGCGGCCGGTAAGATTAGGGATTTGGATGAACAGTAAAATTGGAAATTCGGATCGGGCAAGATGTCGGTCACCAGTCGAACCAGTTCGGTTTAGTTTTCAAAACCTTATTAATGACTCCTATGGGCTTTTTTTAGACTTGCTTGCATTGAAAGAGTAATGTATATTGTTAATCCATAATATGTATCCGGTAAATTATGTAATGCATATAATTATCCTAGTAATTTTATATATTTAGACAAATATATATATGATAAAAAAGTAATACGAAGATTATTGTGGTTACGTCATGAACTCATAAATGGTGCTAGAAGATTAGGATGATTTTATAGATAAGCTCGAAGGAAAGACAAACTTCTGATTCACCATAAAATATAACTTCAATTATAGTTCTAGTAATAATAAAATTGTTATCAATAAATATTCAAACTTTAATGTTTATCAGTTTGTTTAAAATTTTAATTTATATAATCTTTTCATGTTTTCTCTTTCTCATTCAAAACTCTAATGATACAATTAGTCAATTAAGAAATATATATCAATTTTGACAATTAGTTAATTAGTGGTTGTTTAATTTACTCCACACCCACAACTTTTATAAAGTATTACAAACTCTCCTTAAATCAATAAAAATTCCTTGATACATGTAATATTTTATAAGAAAAGTAGGATTAATCAGGAGATTTGGACCATAATAACAAGAGTTAACGACTATTTCCCACTCAAATAATGACTTAATGACACTTTTCTACCCACACACTTTTAAAATACCATTTTACTATTCAAATTGGTATTTCGATGGTGAAGAGAGGCAAACTTGGTCTGAGTTATTGCGGCTTTTGGAGAGGGGATGCCGATGAGTCTTTTGGTGATTGAAGGTTGGATTTTGATGGTTGAGATTGATTAAAATTTGACTTCGAAGGAGCGACTACGCAAACCATAATCGCTTAATTGCTGGCGATTGGTGGTGTCAGTGGGAATAGGGTTTGAGAAGTTTTGGTAAGTGATGATCGGATAAGAGGATGGTGGTGGTCTGAGGTCACAATGATACTATAATTGGAAACATAATATATATTTGAGTAATAAAGTGATATTTTAAAAGTCTATGAGTGAAAAAGTGTCATTAAACCATGATTTGGGTGGGAAAAGTTGTTTACTCTAACAATTATAATAAACAACTACAGTAAAACCTCTCTATAGTCATAATGGTGGGACTAACTAATTGTATTATTATAAGGAAGTTAATAGAGGTGTAGTTACACAATTTTTTTATTTTATAATTCATGTTTTAGTAGTACAATATTAGGATTTAAATTCATGTTTTAATAATATTAGGATTTCAAATTCAGCGCTTCAATTGCCTACTTTTGAAACGGATAGAAGATCATGTCTTGGAACTAGCAAATATAAATGTCCTTGATGAAATTGTAAATACAGTTTCTGCATTGTCAATTGATGTGAAACCACAGACAATTGCCAATTGTTTTAAACATTGCAAGATTAGGACCCCTGATGCCGATGAATTGCTAGTTACGAATTAAGTGAAGGAGGAGAATCAAAGAGTCATAGTAAAATTGAGTAATTGTATTTGATAATTTCACTACAATAATCGAATGGATATTAATATCTTTCTCAATTATATAAATGAACAACAAGCCATATATGTTTTATTTGAACAAGAAATCATTGTTATAATTAGAAGGAAATAATCATGAGTACAAGAGTATGAAGATACAAAAAATTTAATGACTAAAAGCTCTAAACATACTTGAGATGCTAGAAATATTTTGGTTTCAATAAGAAGATGTCCATGTTAGTAACTAATGTACCCGTAAGTTAAAAGATATGGTATCAACTCTAAAGCATAAATTATTGTCTCAAATAATTTTAGATAAATATTTTATTTTATCTTAAACTTTTAATGTAGTATACAGATAGTTATTACTATATGAAGACAACTTTTTTTAAGATGAGAATTAGAAAAATGATAACTTATTATAATATAGGATTTATTCTTATTTAAACTTATTATAATATAGGAATTATTCTTATTTATAACTATCTTAAAACGAGAATAAAATTTGTTATAACTAAGTAGAGTTTACCATGAGGTAAGATACCATCTAAGAGGTTTTAGTGTATTTATTAGTAAACAAGGGCACGGGCCATAGGAAACGGAAGGCCGGTACTTCACGACTTCATTTTTTTTTTTTTTTTTATCTTAGTTTCGCCCTTTTATAATTTGATTGGTGCACAGACTCACACAACACGCACACCAACTGAGGCCGCCAGCTTCCACCCAGCACGCCAGCAATGGTAGTCGGCGTTCTCGCTTTACAGGGTTCTTTTAACGAACATATTGCAGGCACCCTTTCTTTTCTCTTACATCATGTTAATTTCGTCTCATTTGTAACGTTTTTATGTGGATATAATCTTGTTGAGTGATTATTTATGCAGCTCTTAAGAAGCTAGGAGTGAAGGGGGTGGAAATTAGGAAGCCGGAGCAGCTTCAGAATGTGAGCTCTCTTATCATTCCCGGTGGTGAAAGCACCACCATGGCCAAGCTCGCCGAGTACCACAACCTGGTTATTCTCTCTTTAGATTTTTTCTTTTTCTTTTATGTATTAAGTATCTTTTGTGTCTATTGCTGATAGATTATGTATCTTGATGAAAGTGGGTTTTCTTGTTCTTATTTAAGTTCTGGAAACCCTGTGTGGTTTGATAATTAATCCTTGTATCTTTTTTCCAAATATTACTGAATTAATACGAATGAATTTTGTCTGAAGTAATAGTCTTGAATTGCATGTCAGAGAAATTATTGTGATTTGTGAGTGTTTTGTGATTAATGTGTGATTATTTGATTACTTTTTCTTTTATTGGAAGCTAAGGTTCATATATTGGCTGGCATAGGGCATTACTGGAGTCACTGTAACTAATTTATTGTCACCACAGAAACATATATTAATTTGGTTATGAAATGACGGATAGCTTATGCTTGAGAGAAAACATTGTTACTGCTATAAAAAAGAAAGGCTTGTATCTAGGAAATCTATGTTTTCTTTTACCATCTCATATAAGAAGATACACTTATCTTTTGACATCTATTTTTTTCCTTTTTCATTTGTAGTTTCCTGCCTTGCGCGAGTTTGTTGAAACAGGAAAACCTGTTTGGGGAACCTGCGCAGGTCTTATTTTCTTGGCAAATAAAGCTGTTGGTGGGTTTTTCTTCTGTTGATTCTTCTTTCATCTTAACCTTTAATTGTGGATTGTGTTAGGGCTGTTTGACATGACTCCAGCAACTTCTTTTCCTGGTTTTTTTATTACCAATTTGAATAAATAATAGATCCTGTTACTGTCTTGAATTGAAATGGGTGGCATTATTCTTCCAGGACAGAAAATAGGAGGACAAGGTCTAGTTGGGGGGCTTGATTGCACTGTTCATAGAAATTTCTTTGGCAGTCAGGTAAATTTTTTCACTTCTTCACTCCTTTGGTTATACTTTTTTCCGGCGGGAAGTATATTCTGCACTCTACATTAAAATGTTTAATGTTCAGCACATGTGCTGTTTCCAAAATGGGTAAAAAAATTCTTGGTATAGTGAATATAGAAATTTTGGTGTTCAGGTTATGTAGTCATGGTGCAAATTTCAGTAAAGACAAGCTCTTGTGTTCCTTTTAGCATTTCAAGCTGCAAATTTGTTATCTAGTTTGGAGCGTTTGGTATAATGGGGATGGTAAATGATATAACATGATGGAATGTCGTGATTTAAGTTTACATATATATAATAATTGTTTTATTTTCTTCCTTGGACCCATTCATGTTGATGAGTTGGCTCATGTAATCTTATAATACAAATAACAATCAAACATGCCTTCAATAATACATTTTTTTTTTGTTTGGGTAATGTTCGGACCCGCTTGCGTGCATCTCAACTAATCCTTGAGGTCTATTAAACACCTTACAAACCCAAAGGATCAGGTAAGTTACAATGTGGTGGGTGGCCTCAAGGTTGGTTTGAACTTAAGAACTTAATGAAGAGAGCAAACCTTCTTGACTACCAGGCCAACCCCTTGAGGTTCCTTCAATAATACATTGTGAACCACTAAAATCTGTTAGAACTTGTTAGAACCAAAATTTGAATTTCATCAATTGCTTATGCTGCATTCTGCATGTGGTAGCACAGAATTAGAGTGTTTCAGAATTGAATGTGCCAATCCCTTGTTTATCTAGTAGAATATTACCTTTAACTACATCAAATTCTAATTGTAAGGCTATTTACCATACTGCCAAACAAAGTCTTAGTATATTTTGCTGAAAATGTGCTTAAATAATGTCTTTATGTATGTGCATGTCAAAAGTGATTTGCAAAGTGTTTCAACATTTACCCTTATGTTTTCTTTCTATCTTTTTCTACACTTTGTCTTTATAGCCTGAAGCGCACGATTTGCTTGTCAAGAGTCAAGACCCCTAGATAATAACCCATTGCACTGACATGGGTACTAATATTATTTTTTGTGTTAATAAAATGTTGTTCAGATTCAAAGCTTTGAGGCCGAGCTATTAGTGCCAAAGCTTGCTTCTAAGGAAGGTGGTCCTGAGACATTTCGTGGAGTTTTCATTCGTGCTCCTGCAGTCCTTGAAGTGGGACCAGAAGTTGAAGTGCTGGTTGATTACCCTGTACCATCTAACAAGGTGTTATATTCAAGTTCTACCGTTGAAATCCAAGAGGTTTGCTATATGCTCTTTTATCATTATGGTTTATAGTCTAGCAATAATTAGAGTGACTTACACTGCTTTTGAATATACAAAATAAATTAAAAGTAGTCTTTTCATTGAATTGTATTTGTTTTACTAACTATTTAATGAAGTTGTACTTGACGATTGTGCTTGCATGTATCTCTCTGAAATTACAGGTCCCAAAATTCGTTTATTTTAATAAAAAAATTAAGATTAATTAAGTTGGATGTGTTATACGAAGGTGTTTTATGTTTAAAGTGACATTTATGTTAGTTGATACAATTATAATAGAGCAGGTCTTCTTCTTGTCTCTTATTGAGCTTCTCCTGTGCTGCTTCTACTAATATTCTAATCCCTTAAAAGGAAAAGATCCTAGATGCACCATTATTGCTTGGAAAATCATGTAATTCACTGTGCGCATCATGCTATTAGGAAAAAAATAAAAATATTGCTGTTGTTTGATCTCTTTTTGCTGCCACTTTTAGTTTCTAATTGAAATATTGGATATTTCAGGAAAATGCTATGCCTGAAATGAAAGTGATTGTTGCTGTAAAACAAGGGAATCTGCTAGCGACTGCTTTCCATCCTGAATTGACAGCTGATACTCGATGGTATAAATCATTTCCAGTGTCCTACTATACTCATTACCTTATTTGAGTTCTAAAAAAATTGCTTGTGCAGGCATAGTTACTTCTTGAAAATGGGTAGTGAGCTTGGAGAAGCGTCTTCCAGTAGCATTGTTGCAGTTGGAGGAGAGGATCTGAGTTCCAACCTACAATCAAAAACTGATCTTCCTGTATTTCTGTAGTGGCAATTAGATTAAAATCCTTTTCTTTATAGTTAGCTTATATATTTGTGATCTCAAAATCTTTTAAATAGTAGTCCCATGCAGCAAAGATTCTTGTTATGCTGTTGTTAAAGACGGATATTTGGTTTTTCATCCTATATGGCATATATATTGTTTAAAGTTATCTTCTAAAAGAGATAAGGTGGTTAGTTTTCTACTCTCAGGTTCTGTTAAATGGCTATATATTTCATATATCTCAAATGCCCTGAATAAGATATCGTGTTATGGATAATGGGATTCTAAAACTATATTTGCCCGTTTTAGTGAAATAAAATTCTGTCTGCACGAAGTGTTAAATGTGCATGAAATTGAATGCTGTCAAGGGAACAAGTGTGATAGGCAGCCCCCAATTTTGTTCTTTTTGTTTCTGATTTATTATTATGTTTTTGTCAAGAGAAAAAAAATGGATCAAATAACGTTACTCGGGCAGTATTCAGAAGTGATCTTGCCGATAACAGGATTTCCTTTGTAACTAATGAGAAAAAGAACATGGAATCTGCTACTTTATGAGTAAGTTTTACCATCCAGTGGTAAACCTTCGGACCTTGATTCAAATGGTACTGGTCCTGGTCCTGGCCTGGAAAGTAATATATATATTTTTTTTATCACCAGTATGTCGATTCAGTTTGTGTGCACCTCAATTAATCTCTTGGGTCTTGGAACTGTCGATTGGATAAGAGTTTTAATGATCATCTTTATTAGTATTTTGGGGGATTCGAACACAGAAGCTCGTGAAATTTTTTTTTGCTTTTTTATTATGGTCACCCAATGGTAGTTAAAGGTAAAATTTCTTAAAAGAACAAATTTGAAATCTCCTTTTGTGGTATTTGGCGTCATCGGTATTGTTCTCCAGGGCTTTTTGGGTGGTTCGGTCTTTTCAGTCTTACAGTTCTTCAAGGTTGGTTCAATAGTGTTATAATAAGGGTTTATTGTATGACTGATTTAAGGAAGAGAGTTGGAATTTGGTAGTTTAATTTTCTGTCGACAAGAGTAAGAAGAATCAAATAATAAGAAACCTGCCACAAGAAAGGTGGAGTGGCGGTGATATTCGAGGATCCATGCTTGCAGGGCATTCAACATCCTTTAATAATTTTCTTCTTACGCTTTTACTTCAACTCCACCTTACTTATTTAATAACACATTCATCACCATCATCAAATTATTATTTTGACCAATATATATATATTACTTTCAGTTATTCCAAGTCTCCATTGTTGTATAAGCTTGTATTGTAAACTATTCACGTCTTGTACGCTACAAAAGTTAGTGTAAGCAAAATGAAAGGAATAAAAACTTTCAGTTTATGAAGCAATATCCTGAATTACGGATCCCCTGAACTTCATTCTTATTTTTTAGCCGAAACTTCTGTAAACTGCTTTCCGCATAGAAGCAAAAACAAGTTTAAGCTTCCTAAAGAATTTATTTTGACAACTACTTTATAGCTATTTTGTTAATCACACAACCTAAACTAATCCTTTAGTTACTGACTAGACAACTTAATTTGCTCCAGGAGGAAGCAAAGATGCACAAAAATTAAGGCTGACTCTATGGACAATTTCTTTTTTCAATTCCAGTATAAATTTTTCTTTTCAGTCTACACATTGCATCTCCTCTATATATTTTCCTCGGAACTGAATTGAATTGAATATCAAGAAGAGAAGTAGTAAAGAAAATGTTTCAGTTTAAAAGCTTTGAGATGGCAGCCCGAAAGTCATATATTTTGNAAGTCTCCATTGTTGTATAAGCTTGTATTGTAAACTATTCACGTCTTGTACGCTACAAAAGTTAGTGTAAGCAAAATGAAAGGAATAAAAACTTTCAGTTTATGAAGCAATATCCTGAATTACGGATCCCCTGAACTTCATTCTTATTTTTTAGCCGAAACTTCTGTAAACTGCTTTCCGCATAGAAGCAAAAACAAGTTTAAGCTTCCTAAAGAATTTATTTTGACAACTACTTTATAGCTATTTTGTTAATCACACAACCTAAACTAATCCTTTAGTTACTGACTAGACAACTTAATTTGCTCCAGGAGGAAGCAAAGATGCACAAAAATTAAGGCTGACTCTATGGACAATTTCTTTTTTCAATTCCAGTATAAATTTTTCTTTTCAGTCTACACATTGCATCTCCTCTATATATTTTCCTCGGAACTGAATTGAATTGAATATCAAGAAGAGAAGTAGTAAAGAAAATGTTTCAGTTTAAAAGCTTTGAGATGGCAGCCCGAAAGTCATATATTTTGGCGGCTATCTTTATTGTATTACTCTGCACAGAAGCCACACTTGTTCGAGGTGCTAACAGTGGCAACAACAGTGGAAACGGCAACAGTGGCAGTAACAATGGAAGTGGAAACACTGGCAACAACAATGGAAATGGGAACACTGGAACCAACAATGGTAACGGGAACAACGGCAATAGCAATGGAAATGGCAACAATGGCAACAACAATGGAAACGGCAACAACGGAAATAACAATGGAAATGGGAATGGTAATAACGGCAACAATGGAAACGGAAACAACGGCAATGGCAATGGCAACGGAAAAGATTTTGATGACTTGACACCATTAGCTTCCGGACAGGAACGACAGTTGTGCAAAGCAAAAGGAAATTGCTACTACAAGACCCTTACTTGTCCGTCCGAATGCGCTCAGAAAAAGCCTAAGAAGAATAAGAAGAATAAAGCTTGTTATGTTGACTGCAGCAGCAAGTGTGAAGCCGTTTGCAAATGTAAGTACCCTACTCAATTTCATTTTTAGTCATATAATTTCATCAGAATTAATGTATTCTAATACCTAAAAATTGATGTTATTTGTCAGGGAGAAAAGCAAACTGTGATGGATATGGTTCTCTATGCTATGACCCTCGCTTCGTTGGCGGTGACGGTGTGATGTTCTATTTCCATGGAGCTAAGGGAGGAAGCTTTGCCATCGTCTCCGACGATAACCTTCACATCAACGCTCACTTCATTGGAACTAGACCACAAGGAAGGACTCGTGACTACACATGGGTGCAAAGCCTTGCTGTGATGTTCGATACACACACTCTTGTCATTTCTGCAAAGAGAGTTTCACATTGGGATGACAAAATTGATGCTCTCTCTATCAGATGGGATGATGATCCAGTTGATCTTCCTCTTGATGGAGATGCTGAATGGGAAACTAACGTTGAGGAAAGAAAAGTTGCGATTGAAAGAACTGATGATACTAATAATGTTAGAGTCAGTGTTGCAGGGCTGCTTCAAATGGACATAAAGGTGAGACCAATTGGCAAGCAAGAAAACAAAGTTCATAACTATCAGTTACCGGAGAAGGATGCTTTTGCTCACTTGGAGACTCAGTTCAAGTTTAAGAATCTGAGTGATCTTGTTGAAGGAGTTCTAGGAAAAACTTACAGGCCGGATTATGTGAGCCCTGTGAAAAGAGGAGTGCCAATGCCTATGATGGGTGGAGAGGATAAGTATCAAACTCCATCTCTCTTTTCACCTCTTTGCAGGGTTTGCAGATTCCAAAGACCATCTGGGGTTGCATCAATCTAAGAAGAATATTCATCAAAAGATTGATAATAAGTACAAAAGAAATAAATCATATAAATTATACTATACTGTTCTTTTTTCATTTGTAAACTAAACGGGCATCTAAATGTATGTATCAAGATTATCTTGTTCTCATATTTTCATTTTGTTTAATACACAAATAAGGGCCATGAAAGATGCCCAATATTGATTATTTATGAAATCAAGTTTACAGAAATGCTTGAAATCATTTTCAACATTACCTTTTGTGCAACCTGTTGTAATACAATCAGTCAATGAGAAAACAAGTGTGTTTAATTCATGATAGTATACTCTAATTAATCGATTGTATTACGCCAGGATAAGACTTTTCCTGAATTCCAGTCCTTGTAATTCCAAAGTACAGTATCAATAAATCATCAGGTTCCTCAAAGAAATTAAAGCGGCTTCATAGCAAGATATATAATAACCCTTCAGTAAGTCTAAATAATAAGCAACTCACCTGCATTTGTGTTTTTTTAATGCATGTTTTAATAAGAAGCCATTGAAGATCAAGTACCAGCATAAAATTTGAATTAACGTCCTGATAACGCTAGCTTCATGTGATTGGATGCCGCCGGTGCCTTGGATCCCATGACAAACAATAGAAAATTGTAGGGTATAATCCTTGTATTACTAACATTTCACCAGTGTCATGGTGACCTTCATTACATTGTAGCATTTCTAGATTTACATCATAAAATTTGCAGTTCATAATTCATGTGAATCGGAAACATAAAAAAAATTTAATTAAAATACATGGCTGATGCAGCAACATGTTGAAACCCTGCCATGAAAACCATATGGGTTTCGCATCCTCCCTCTACCCATGACCCCAACTTACCAATTAATTTTGTAGTATCAAGTTATGGACCTTAAAATGGATTTATTGACAATTTAAAATAGTGTGTGTAGCTGCCTAGATTTCTGGTAACACCGTATTGAAACTTTGGTGGGTGGGTTTAATTAAGAGTAAACGACTTTTTCCAACCCAAGGTTTGCCTTAATGACACTTTTCCACCCTAAAGGTTTCAAAATACCACTTTCCAACCTAAAGTTAATATTTTGTTATTACCCAAAATACACTTCACTTTCTCAGCCGACTTTCAGCGAGATACTAGGATGCAGGGTAAGAGGGTTATTATAGAGTAGAGGCCGGTGGATCGAATGGTGGTGACTGATAAATATTCATTATCGAAATCAGTCGGAAATCAACTAAGAACAAGAAACCTTAACTTTGCGGTTGTCGGCAATCGGCGAGAAATTAGGTGTTGGAATGAGAGGGGTTTTGTATAGAGGAGACTGGAGGTTTAAATGGTAGTTATATAGAGAATTTTTGCCGTCAAAATCAACATTGGGTTGTAAATGGATATTAACTTTGGGTGGGAAAGTGGTATTTTGAAACTTTTTGGGTGGAAAATGTCATTAAGCAAACCTTGGGTGGGAAAAAGTCGTTTACTCTTTAATTAATTCTACATAACTTAAAGAGTGAGAAATTAGATTTCACCCAAACTAAAAAGTTAAGAAGAAAACAATGTGCTCACACCAAATAATGTAAGTTGTGAACAAATACAACTGGAGAAACCCATCTACATATTGTAATATAATATAGCGAAGATTAAAAAGTAGTAATGCAAAGCAAAAATGGATTAACAAACAATTTAAGGTTGGTCAAATTATGCTTAGGAGAATGTTCTGAATCATTTCTTTGGAAGGATATTTCTTAGAACTTGTTCCGCTTAAATTGGAGCAAGTACAGGTTGTGAAGCCAATTACTTGTTAAAAACTCAATCTAACCCCATTTAGTCAATTCTACATCCCTCATAGACCCCATAGAATAATAATAACAAAGAGCTGTTTCTCAACTGTGTTAAAAGTAAGAGGAAAGTTAACATGACTTAAGCCGAATTATAAGGGCCTACTTGTTCCTCAGCACTCCTTTATATACATCTCTTCCCATCCAGTCTCCACCATTAAGAAAGAATAAGCGAAAGTAGTACCAAATAGAGAATTTTGGGGCATGCAAGAGATGGATATAAGAATATCAAGTGCTCTGGTANATGGTGACCTTCATTACATTGTAGCATTTCTAGATTTACATCATAAAATTTGCAGTTCATAATTCATGTGAATCGGAAACATAAAAAAAATTTAATTAAAATACATGGCTGATGCAGCAACATGCTGACCCCCTGCCATGAAAACCATATGGGTTTCGCATCCTCCCTCTACCCATGACCCCAACTTACCAATTAATTTTCTAGTATCAAGTTATGGATCTTAAAATCGATTTATTGACAATTTAAAATAATGTGTGTAGCTGCCTAGATTTCTGGTAACACCGTATTGAAACTTTGGTTGGTGGGTTTAATTAAGAGTAAACGACTTTTTTCAACCCAAGGTTTGCCTTAATGACACTTTCCCACCCTAAAGGTTTCAAAATACCACTTTCTAACCTAAAGTCAATATTTTGTTATTACCCAAAATACACTTCACTTTTTCAGCTGACTTTCGGCGAGATACCAGGAGGCAGGGTAAGAGGGATATTATAGAGTAGAGGCTGGTAGATCGAATGGTGGTGACCGATAAATATTCATTATCGGAATCAGTCGGAAATCAACTAAGAACAAAAAACCTTAACTTTGCGGTTGTCGGCAATCGATGAGAAATTAGGTGTTGGAATAAGAGGGGTTTTATATAGAGGAGACTGAAGGTTCAAATGGTGGTTAATTATATAGAGAATTTTTGCCATCAAAATCGACATTGGGTAGTAAATGAATATTAACTTTGGGTGGGAAAGTGGTATTTTGAAACTTTTTGGGTGAAACATGTCATTAAGGCACACCTTGGGTGGGAAAAAGTCGTTTACTCTTTAATCAATTCTACATAACTTAAAGAGTGAGAAATTAGATTTCACCCAAACTAAAAAGTTAAGAAGAAAACAATGTGCTCACACCAAATAATGTAAGTTGTGAACAAATACAACTGGAGAAACCCATCTACATATTGTAATATAATATAGCAAAGATTAAAAAGTACTTATACAAAGCAAAAATGGATTAACAAACAATTTAAGGTTGGTCAAATTCTGCTTAGGAGAATTTTCTGAATAATTTCTTTGGAAGGATATTTCTTAGAACTTGTTCTACTTAAATTGGAGCAAGTACAGGTTGTGAAGCCAATTACTTGTTAAGAACTCAATCTAACCCCATTTAGTCAATTCTACATCCCTCGTAGACCCTATAGAATAATAATAACAAAGAGCTGTTTCTCAACTGTGTTAAAAGTAAGAAGAAAGTTAACATGACCTAAGCCGAATTATAAGGGCCTACTTGTTCCTCATCACTCCTTTATATACATCTCTTCCCATCCAGTCTCCACCATTAAGAAAGAATAAGCGAAAGTAGTACCAAATAGAGAATTTTGGGGCATGCAAGAGATGGATATAAGAATATCAAGTGCTCTGGTAGCTTTCATGCTAATAATATTCATTTCAATGAAAGCTACATTTGTTGAAGGTCAAAACAACAACAACAAGGGTGCCTATGATGCTGCTTCAACAAATTACTACATGTTAACAGCTCTACCTACAGGGCAGGAAAGAGCATACTGTCTAGCAAGAGGGGCCTGTAACCAAAAAACTCTTGTGTGTCCGGCTCAATGTCCACAGAGGAAGCCGAGAGAGAACAAGAAACAGAAGGGATGCTTCATTGACTGCAGTAGCAAGTGTGAAGTCACTTGCAAGTGTAAGCATATCTTCTAACCCATTACATAAATTTGTTTTCTAAAAATGGTATTTTTACAAGCTGAATAAGCTCAGGATAAATTGATTTTCATGTAGGTGTAGTAGATTCATAGTGTAACTGATTGTTGTCACTAGTTGTTTAAAACAATGTTCATGTGCATATCAATTTTTCTGTTTTCCTTCTTTGTTATACTTAAAACGCAAATTTTCTGGTTTTCATTGTTTTCTCCGTGTGAAAACAAGAGATCTAGTGTTCTTAAAGGAACCCTCTAGATTCACCTAACTTGTAAATAAATAAAACGTAAGAAACTTTGAGATGCCTGAATATATGCTCTACTTAAGACCACATGTTGACGAATATATTAACATTTGGCAGGGAGAAAACCAAACTGCAATGGGTATGGCTCTCTTTGTTATGATCCGCGTTTTGTAGGTGGTGATGGTGTAATGTTTTACTTCCATGGAGCGAAAGGAGGGAACTTTGCCATTGTCTCAGATGACAACCTTCAAATTAATGCTCACTTTATAGGCACTCGACCTGATGGAAGGACTCGTGACTTTACATGGGTGCAAGCTCTTGCAGTCATGTTTGATTCTCACAATCTTGTCATTGCTGCTAAGAAAGTCTTACATTGGGATGATGATGTTGATGCACTCATTGTAAGATGGGATGGTGAGACGGTTAATGTACCCACGGATGGAGACGCAGAATGGAGGATAAATAATGACAGAGAAGTTGTGGTGGAGAGAACCGATAATACTAACAGTGTAAGAGTGACAGTTTCCGGTTTGTTGGAAATGGATGTGAAGATTAGGCCTATTGGAGCTGAAGAAAACAGGGTTCACAACTATCAATTACCAAATGATGATGCTTTTGCTCACTTGGAGACACAGTTCAGGTTTCCAAAACTAACTGACCTTGTTGAAGGAGTTTTGGGCAAAACTTACCGGCCAGACTTTGTTAGCCCTGTCAAGAGAGGAGTTCCAATGCCAATGATGGGTGGGGAAGACAAGTACCAAACTCCATCCCTATATTCACCTCTTTGCAGAGTTTGCAGATTCCACAGGCAGTCAGAGACGATTGCAGTTGAATAACTATATCAATACTGATAACAATCGCGAAAGCTGTGAATCTTGTTGGTGTATGTGCAACCCAAATAAGGGATAGTAATTTTTCCCATGTGACATTGTCATTCTTTGTTCATCCAGTTAACATCAATAGTGTGCATATTGTCCGTTGAGTCATGTGTGTTTTCATCTTGTCTCAGTTCATATTTTTGCATTTGGAATACAAAAAAGAAACAGTTTTTGCCAGGCCACATTTTTTTTTCATGCAGTTTAAGCTTTCTCTGTGCTGAAAAAGATGGTATTCTGGCGAAGCTTCTCAATGCCTAATATGTGCAGTTGACTTTACCTTTTCAGAACTATCGATCTATCAGATCCAATCCGATCTAATATTGTTGTTCAAACAGTTTCGAACGTCAAATAACTCTGACCAGAGTTCAAACTCATCAAAATTGTAAAGTTTTGTGATTTAAATAAGGCCATGCAATCGATTCAATGGTTATCTAAAACCTTAAGGTTGATAATTACATCAAGTAATGAAGAATGTTAAAATTTGTGGATACCCTAAATATATCTGAATATAGACAACTTCTAATTTCTAAACATGGTAGATGCTTAATTCCTTTTAGTTAATTAGTTGTTGTCGTTACAGCAAAGAGAGTTTCACATTGGGATGACAAAGTTGATGCGCTCTCTCTAATGGATGGGAGGGTGATTCAGTTGATCTTCTTCTTCATGGAAAAGCTGACTGGATGAGTAATGTTGAGGAAAGAAAAGTTGTGATTGAAAGAATGTAAGTGATGTTGTTGATGGAGTTGTGGGAAAATCTTACAGGCCACACAATGTGAGCCCTGTGAAAAGAGGATTGCCGATGCCAATGGCTACCTTAAAACTACCATAATTCCAATTACTATATCTATTAGTACTCGAGAAAAGATTCAAACTTAGAATTTCTTAAGTAATATACTAAAAAGTCCCTATCAAATTGCTCGACAGTATGATACACATTACTTCTTTGTTAACTTTCGTTTCGTCGAACTCTAAATTTATAACTCATCTCACATTTATTTGTTCCGTGGAAAGGCACATGGGCATTATTTGTTTCTAATTAAATGCTAGTTATGAGCAAGTACATATAATTATATAGCAAAGAATATATAAATGTATTCATACAAAGGAAAAATAGATAATTAAACAAACATTTTGATTAAGATTAGGTACGATAATTTAATTCCTGAATCATTTCTTTGATGGCTGTTTCTTAAAACTTGTTCTAATTTAATTTAAGCAAGCACAAGCTGAAGTTTTGAGGCTAATTACCTGTTAAAACTCGGGTCTAAACCCATTTTATTCTATTCCACGTTGACTAATACTACTCTTCTTAAAATATATCCCAAAAATCTCATCTCAAATAATGTATTATTTTATGCAATGTGTTAAAACCCAACCCGGGGTGAAACCCAGCAAAGTTTCCGGGTCCCGGGTTGACCCGTTAACGGTCAAACCGGTTGACAAAATCTTTTAAAATTTAGCAAATACACCCTTGAAAATGACATGTAAGTCCCTATATGTTTAAACTTTATAAAACACACCCCAAATGCAAATCGACCGGCTACTGATTGGCGGCGGCAACACCCTAGATGTAACCCCAATAGTCCCTTGAGCCCATTTCCATTAAAATCTACCCAAGATCTAGCCGAAATAGGTTCGATTTGGCCATCTTACCGACGACGGCATCGGCATTCCAAGCCCGATCTCATCCACGCCGGTGTCAACAACCCTCCCCATCACCCAGGAATTACTCCTTTCTTCCTCCCGACCAAAACCCACCTCACCCCACCCCCGTTAGCCTTGCCAATCGCAGGCAAAATCCCATTGTTGCCGTTACTAGATTTGTTTGATTTCCGGTCGATTTACTCACCGGAAATCAACGCCGTCAACACCATTGCATTCACCGGCCCTTTATCTTCAAAAGCCCCATGATTCTGGCTGTCAATTGATCGCCGATCACCCTCCCAAATCCTAGGGTTTTGGGTGAATAGAAAAAGCATAAACCCGACCCGTTGAAGCTTCCGTCAGGCCGGGTTTTAAAACATTGATTTTATGTAGTGCTCACATGAATACTACTTCACTTTCCAAAAATCCCAAAGAATTGTTTCTCAATTATTTTTAAGAAGGAACTTCACATTAATTAGGCCGAATTATAGGGCATAGTTTTCCTCATCACTCCTTTATATACATCTTTCCATCCAATCCTCTCAATCTCTTTCAAAAGAGAAAGTAATACAAGTATAGAATTTTGAAGCATGCAAAAGATTGCTAAAAGCTCTGTTTTAAAACCCGGACTGGATCGATCAATCAGACTAGTCCGACTAAGACCCGACAGCCTCTCTTGCCCGGTTCAGGTTTAAGGCAGTTTCTGCTATATTTCAAATTTGTAGTTTTAAGGATGTTTTTGTAATATTTCAAAAATTTGGGGACTAATTGTAATTTTTTGGGCACTTTCAAAATAAATTAAAATTTTAAGGACTAATTTGAAAGTTTTTAGAGATATTTTTGTAAACTATTAAAGTTTGAGGGATGAATTTGTAATTTTTTAAAAATACTTTGTTACTGACATCACCAATCCAACCGGTTGACTCGTGACTCGATCACTAGCCGGATCTAAGAACAGGTCGGGTTTTAAAGCAATCATAAAAGAATATCAAGTGCTGCGGTAGCTTTCATGCTTCTATTCATTCCAATGAAATATTGAAATTAGCTGCATTTGTCGAAGGTCAAAGCAATGGGAATGGAAGTAGCAAGTGTAAGCATATCCTCTAACCCACCCTCTTCCGTTCTATACTTTATGTAATTTTGTATTATAAAAACGGCGTTCTTACATGTTAAAGATCAGGATATGTCGATTTTCATGTAGGAATATATTGATTCATAGTGAAACTGACTGAAGTTGCTAGGTGTTCAAAAACAAGAGATGTAGGGTTCTAAAAGGACCCACTAGATTCACCTAATTTAGTCTGCAAATAAATAAACGCCCGATGTTCAAATCGTTAAGGGCAATTAGACTAAACCGAAGGAACTTGAGATGCCAGAATTTACGTTCTACTAATTAAGATTGCATGCTCGCTAATATATTAACATTTGGGAAGGAGAAAACCAGACTGCAATGGACATGGCTCTGTTTGTTATGATCCCCGGTTTGTAGGTGGTGATGGTGTAATGTTTTACTTCCACGGAGTTAAGGGAGGAAACTATGCCATTGTCTCAGATGACAACCTTCAAATTAATGCTCACTTCATCGGTACTCGACCTGAGGGATTGACTCGTAACTATACATGGTGCAAGCTCTTGCAGTCATGTTTGACTCTCAAGAGAGTCTCACATTGGGATGATAATGTTGATGCCCTCATTGTAAGATGGAATGGTGAGACAGTTGATGTCCCCATGGATAGACTTGCGGTTTGCCCAACAGAAGATAAAGGATGACAGAGAAGTTGTAGTGGAAAGAAATGAACAGTGAAAGTTGCTGACCTGGTGGAAATGGGTGTGAATATTAGACCTATTGGAGCTAAAGAAAACAGGATTCAAAACTATCAATTACCTGATGATGATGCTTTTGCTCACTTGGAGACAGTTCAGGTTTCAAAATTTAACCCTCCTTGTTGAAGGAGTTTTGGGCAAAACTTATGTTAGCCCTGTCAAGAAAAGAGTTTCAGTGACAGTGATGGGTGGAGAAGACAAGTACCAAGCTCCATCCCTATATTCGCCTCTTTGCTAAGTTTGCAGATTCCAGAGGTAGTCTGAGACTGCAGTTTAATAATTATATCAATACTGATAATCATAAAGAAAGTTGTGCATCTTCTTGGTGTATATGTGCAACACAAATAAGGGATGGTAATTTTCTCAATGTGACATTGTCATTCTTTGATCGCCCAGTTCACATCTATAGTGTGCTAATTGTCCGTCGAGTTATGAGTGTGTTCAGCTTATTTCAGTTCATATATTTGCATTTGGAATTCAAAAAAGAAACAGTTCTTGCCAAGCTACATTGTTTTCATATACTTTAAGCTTTCTCTGTACTGAAAAAGATGGTTAGATGGTATTCTTGCTGTTGACGCTTGATTTTGGATGCCAACGACTCGCACGTAGGAAACGTTGAGCTGACTCAGGAGACACACGTGATGGATCCATGAGATTTGAATATGGAGCTGAGATTATATATTTTGCAGAAAAATAAATAAAAGATTGGCAAGAGGGGTTTTTATAGTGGTTCGGATGCAACAAACGACTCCTACATCCACTGTTATTTTATTGATCTCTGACTATTTCTATGATTTTGCCTGTAAGACATACAAAGATGAAGAAATATAGTGTTTAAAGAGAGAGAATGAAAATGAAGCTCAAATCTCAGCCCAGCATGCAGCCTCCTTCTTCGTGAAGAGAAATGCCCATTTATTCACCCAAACAATGTAATGAGTGTTTTGCAAGTTGCCTTGACACATGGAAGACTCTCGTCCATTCATCTCTTAAAAGGAGATATGGTTGGTGAGAATATCTTTGAAGATATGGGCTTGGCAACTGGTACAAGAAGACATTAAATGAGTTGACATAGACGTGACTTTTTAGGCATAACATTTTGCAAAGCTTCGATGCTAGAACTACAAGGAATAACGTTCTCAATGCCTAATATTGTGTAGTTGACTTGACCTTTTTAGACCTAGCTATCAGGTCAGAATCAACAGATCTAACATTGTTATTCAAACAGTTTCAACCATCAAATGACTCTGAACAGAGTTCAACTCATCAAGATTGTAAAAGTTTTCTGATTTACAAAAGGCTATGATGCAATCTAATCAATGGGTATCTAGAGCATTAAGGTGGATACTTACATAAAGTAATGGAGGATGTTAAAATTTATGGATAGTACTCTAAATGTATCTGAATGTAGACAACTTCTAATATCTAAACATGGTTCCATGTTTGATTCCTTTTAGTTAATTAGTTGTTTATCGTGAGATAATCAGTGCAGGTGAGTTTTTTTGACACAGTAGTAATTTTCTTCTCCCATGAACAAGCAACAATAACAGTATTTCAAAATGATTCAGAAATCAGAGCATTCTCATTGTAGATAATATTAGTACTTCACTATTTTCTGGGCTAATAAAATACACCTTGTGGTATGATTTCCAAGCCTATTTCTTTTTTTTTTTTTTTTTTTTTTTTCTGGTAAAGTACAGTTTACAAATTTCAATCATTCCAAATTTTATTCAATTAAATACTTGAGGGCAACACTAGATTATAACCCACATAAAGTGAAAGCTTAGAGCATCATCGCTTCATGTACAGGAAGCTTCTACTGCTAAACTTTTAATTACTCCTGTACATGGGTCACCAAAGGTATTGCTTGACACTCCAATGCTACAACTCTTGGATCCAACGCAAGCCTGTGTTTGAAGGGAATCCTTGTCAGTACATACAGATATAAGTTAAATATGATACATTTATATTTTGAGGAGTGAGATCACACCTTATGTACAATGGAAAGAGCTCTTTTACTACTGCAATTTCCATGGCTAAAACTCCCACAGGTGCCATTAGGAGTTCCAAAACTTGCAAATTTGATTGAAGAAATGACCTGATTAGGCAATGGACATTCGAGTGATAGTACAGGCCCTGATGTCCTTGCAGTTTTTGAATCTGAATTCCACATATCTACAGGTAAAGGGTGAGACTGTGTCACATGGGAGCATAAACTTCCAATCTGTTTTGTGGCAAAAGTTATTTTTGTTGGATCCCCGCCTATCTCCTCAAACAATACAAGAATGTTGCCACTTGATTTTAACCAGGAACGGGGTAAGTGATACCTGTGAGATAGGTGATATGAGAGCAAAGATTTTCTGATAATTTGGTAACTATTTCAATGTAGAAGAACTTACAGTTCCTGAGATGGCTTTCCACAGTTCTTAAGGCATTTGTTTGAGCTGTAACTTCCTCTGTAATTACAAGAGTTAGTGCAACCTCCATTAGGGGAGCCATAGGTTGGCCAGTAACGCCCAATGCTTTGTCCATTTACCCATGCCTCACCCTTTCCCATCCCGGTGAAGTCTATTGCAAGAGGGTCATTTCCAGCAGGGGCATTAAATGTTGTCTATATCAACAAGTATTGCTTTTTGTTAGTAACTAAGAAATTGGTTCCATTAAATTATGGAAACCTAGCCTAATTGTAACTATTAGTTGTTTCACAGGCAACTAGTGAACAAGCATTATTTAAATTGAACACGGTATATCTTATTTTCCCAACTTCACTCAAATTTGGTAGTACAATATGGTAATCTAATTTACATACCGTAACTATATATCAAAATTTTAACATTACCTTGTACCATATCAAGGGCTGATTCTTGGGGAAGGTTGATTTTGAAACCCACTGTGGAGAACTTCCACTAGGCAGATCTAATGCTTCTCCTTGTAGTCCAGTCTGCACTCATAATGACATACACAGAGAGAGATTTGAATCATTTTATTCATATTTTTCTGGACGCTAATATGCTCCTCATTTAGAGTTAATAAATTTGGAACTTAGTTTTACAATTTTCATAGACTGTGGACTGTAATAGAGACACAGTTTAATAACCATGTAATGTTACTTTCAGTAACTATATTGAATAAGGAATACTAGGACATTTTTGGAAGACAAAGACAGACCTGATAAGTCCACTGCTGTGAAGAAAGATCACTAGTTGTTCCATTTTTCAAACCTTTCAGCTGCACAGGACCAGTGATCCCTGCCCCTGTTTTGTCATAGAATGCTCCGTAGTTCTGGTACAGATTAAAAACAGACTGCATCAGATAAGAATAGCATTTGGGAATATATATTAAATATTGTAATTGTTCATCTAAATACTTTCAGTCACCGTCAAACTATTGTGCAAGAATATAATGTAGATTTTTTTTCCATTAAATGCTCATATAAAATCTTAATCATAAGGGCTAAACCTGAAGTCCAACGGTAAAACTCAGGAGATCAATTGTGTTCTTCCCAGGTACAAGTGTGACAGGGAACTCCCCTGAAACCTTAGCATTGCTACTGCTGCCTCTTCCACTCCCTGCAAGGCTCCAATTATGATTAATATAAAAGTGTTCATAATAACATTTTATGATTTCCTTAATATAGGGTTCATCTTAACTAGCTTACACTCGTAAATTGCAATTAAAATATTCAAATAACCGAGGAATGTGATAGGGGAGGCCCTATACAGAAGCTAAAAACTTCAAACCACAATGTTTGAACCCGTGCAGTTGGTGCCTGATAAGAGGCATATCTGAGTGCCTCTGAATTTAGCTAGCAATGATTCAATTCACTACCCTTAATACCCTAAACAAGATGATGCAATAAACAAAAACAGAGTTGGGTTTAGATAGGTGAAGGTAGTTTCATCATTGTCCTATACCCAATTATAAATGCATGTTCCCTATTACTGCAAAGACCTAATAGCTGGAAAGATAGCATCCATCGTTTTTTGTTTTCCAAGAGAATGACACAATGTATGCGGAGAAAGATGTTTCCTTCAAGACAAAAGCTAGGGCATAGGCATAGCTAGAAGGAAAATTAAAAAGCAAACAACCAAGTCAAACAACAATGAACTGACCCTGTATCAGTTGATGAAAGGTACTGTTGTCTGCCAAGGCCCTCTTTTTGTTTAAATAGTTTGTTTGTATGCCATCTAGACACTCACATAAAGAAGCACTCCAGCAAGTGCGAAACTTACAGTGCAGATATAGTGTATGAGCTTGCACACAGACAGTCAACCTACCAGAATCTACACAATAATTATGGTATTCGATTTTTGAACCTTGCATTAGATTTCTGCAGGGAAACCCTACTTCAGCTCTTCCAAACTGAGAATGGAAGAAGAAAACAATCCTTCCATCAGGATTTCTCAGAGGGCTATCCAATGCCTATTTACCTCAGTTATCAGGGAGCTACTATCCTGAGTTACTGAAGAACTTAACACAAAGGACTTCCCAAGAGAAGTGAAAAAAAGAAAAAAATCACATTACTGTGGCAACCACATAATATTATTTTCTGATTACATTATTTTATAACTCCTAGTACCTGCTAACTTCCCATTTACGAAAGCATGAAGGCCATGACCAAGTGATTCCACATGAAGAACAGTTTTAGATCCATCTTGAAGGAAAGGCTCATCGGTTTTGAAGACAGTGCTGCCAGTTGCAAACAGAATGTCTTTAAATACTTTAACATATCAAAATAATTGGTTAGAGAGGCAAACGGTATGCCTTAACAAAGAAGTGAAATTAATAGGCTGGTATACACACCTTAATGAATACCACAGGTAGTCACTTTTATCAGCTGTTGTGTTTATTTGTTCTAATAATCCGACCTTCGTAAATGCATCCTTCTTTGAGATGCCCACAGGTTCATTTACATAACTCCAGTCTGACTGGAATGCATCGGAAGAATCACCATCAACTTTCAGAGATTGACGTGTGAAGCTTGGAACCACAGTCACAGAATTAATCTGTCATGAGACACATAATTAAATTATACAAGAAATTTTAACCCAAAAAAGAAAGAAAAACAAAATTGTGTACTTAAGTCATTTGAAAAAAGAAAAAAAAATTACAAAATAATAATAATGAAACAGTTCCAAGGAAATACTTTATGAAGAACAAGTTCCATAATGAAAATTTTAAACTAATGCCTCTGTGTCACTCTCTTACAAAGAACTTTCAATACAAAAAATTTAAAAAAAAAAAAAAAAAAAAATACCAAATTTTGTCCTTGAAGCAGACAAGTAAATCAATTATTTCTTTATGAAAATCATTAAAGTATTAAAACAGCAGATTTGTCACCGAATTCTCAAGCTATCTATGCATGCCGCGTTTACAGAAGTTTGGAAGTAAGCCAACTGGCAACAGAAGTTCTTCCACATTATTTTTCCATTAGAAAAAGGAAAGACAGAAACAAATCCATGAGCACCGCTAGAAAAGAGGCAAACCTTTGCAGTATTCAGAACTACATTCTTGCAATCTGGTAAAATGCTCACAGACCATGCAGGCAACTGGTAAGAATTGCCACTGAAATTTACAGTTACGTCTGACTTCGTGTCTATGTTTGCAAGAAAGGCAGCACATGCTGATCCCGATTTATATACAGCTGCCTGAGGAAAAACAAATAATGTATCAAATAAAAGTAATTTTTTTACATCACAACCCATCAAGTAGAAGCTGTTGGACCTCTATCAAAGGGGCTTAGTATTTAGTACCTCTAAATTTTGACCTAGAGATGTAATGTTTGGATCAGTGGCCACCAATGCTGGCTCGCAAAGCTTTATGGCCTTATGCAGGTCTTTTAGATGGCCCCACTTGGGTTGTCTGAGTTGCCCTGAGACATAAATTGGAAATGGTGATATCTATCACATTCTTTCGTTTAATTCAACATGAGCACATAGCAAGTGCCCTTTTAGCGTGACAGTGACTGCAAATATTCATGAGGCAGCAGACAACTGATGAATAGGAAATGCATTTAAATGAAATAGCAGTGGCTTTAGACATCAAGGGGTGGATATCCAACAATAACGGTAGACAGATACAGAACATACCATATTCATCAAGTGGAGCGTCATAATCATAACTTGTAGCAATAAAGGGGCCACCAGTTGTCCGACCAAAGTTAGTTCCACCATGGTACTGGAAATTTGCAACCAAAACAAATTTGATAAATAAGTTGATGTTCCTCTTGGTGTGAGTCTGGTCTTTGTCCAATAGTACAAGTCATAAGCATAAAAAATTATGTTCAGCAACTAAAAATTGCTAATATCATTGCTAACCATATAATAATTTTGGAAAGTTCCACCTCGCTGGAAAAAACGTGCCACTGCAAATGCAATGTCTTCCACTGGTCTGTAAGGCACAGCACCTCCAAAGGAAAGAAACCTAGATTTGTCGATTATAGAGAAACTAATTAGTGAATAATTTCATGTCAAGAAGTTAAAGATCGGAAAAAAAAAAAAAAAAAAGACCAACTGGAGGGGGGGCCTCATCCAAACAACCAAAATCACTAGGATCAACAAGTTTAGACACCTTACCAACCAGTCCAATTCTCTGTCCACATTTTTGGTTTCTTGTCAGAATTTGGGGTGAATTGATCACAGTAGAACCCATTGCAAGTGTTGATCTGCAAGAGAAAAGTTANGAAATGCATTTAAATGAAATAGCAGTGGCTTTAGACATCAAGGGGTGGATATCCAACAATAACGGTAGACAGATACAGAACATACCATATTCATCAAGTGGAGCGTCATAATCATAACTTGTAGCAATAAAGGGGCCACCAGTTGTCCGACCAAAGTTAGTTCCACCATGGTACTGGAAATTTGCAACCAAAACAAATTTGATAAATAAGTTGATGTTCCTCTTGGTGTGAGTCTGGTCTTTGTCCAATAGTACAAGTCATAAGCATAAAAAATTATGTTCAGCAACTAAAAATTGCTAATATCATTGCTAACCATATAATAATTTTGGAAAGTTCCACCTCGCTGGAAAAAACGTGCCACTGCAAATGCAATGTCTTCCACTGGTCTGTAAGGCACAGCACCTCCAAAGGAAAGAAACCTAGATTTGTCGATTATAGAGAAACTAATTAGTGAATAATTTCATGTCAAGAAGTTAAAGATCGGAAAAAAAAAAAAAAAAAAGACCAACTGGAGGGGGGGCCTCATCCAAACAACCAAAATCACTAGGATCAACAAGTTTAGACACCTTACCAACCAGTCCAATTCTCTGTCCACATTTTTGGTTTCTTGTCAGAATTTGGGGTGAATTGATCACAGTAGAACCCATTGCAAGTATTGATCTGCAAGAGAAAAGTTAAAGTGCCAAGATTACATAAAACGTGAAGGAACTCTTCTGACTTGCAAGTAAAAGACATCATTCGAATGAAGTTTATGCAGTGCCACTATTTTGGTAACGTACCATGAAAGACAATGGAAGAGGTAAATAAACCAAAAAATAACTCACCATAGGATCAGGAGCATCTGATTGCTGGCACATGACCCACGGTACTCCTGTATCCTGAGATACAGCCATACTTGCTGCCCATTTGATATATGACTTTGCAGCAGCCCCGTAGGCCGAATCAATGTTTCCATACTCATTTTCAATCTGGCAAAACCAAAATGGGGAAAAACATAAGAACACTTTCAGCGATTATACTCTTCAATAAAATAAGAAAGTCAAACAGTAATCAATATATGACTCATTTTATTAATTATGAAAATGCATCAACTGATTAGAGTTCACAAATAAAGCCAAACACCATCATTAGTAAAACATTATTAAAAACAAAATAAGGACCTGTGATAAAATGATGGGTCCTCCTTGAGAGGCATAAAGTTTCTCCTGCTTCATCAGACCAACAATTTTGGTTGTAAATCGCTGCATTTCAGCCTGAAACAGAGAACCAAGAAATTTAATAACCGATAAATCAATAAACACCAATAATCAACAAACTGAAAGCATAAAATAGGCATAGTGAAAACCTTGTATGGTTCGTTATCAGTTCGAAGCTCAATGCCCGGTACAAAATGCAACCAAACAGGAAATCCTCTGCCCAGAAAATCAAAGAAAATTATATAAAATTTTACTTTAAATGTTTAATCGAAACTACAAATATGCAGTATCATTATCGAATAAAGAATAGAAAAAATTCTCACCCGTAGTTCCATTCAGCACAGACATATGGACCGATGCGTAGATGAACATAAAGACCAGCCTCTGCTACCAACTTCACGAACTTAACTATATCATATCTTCCTTCGAAATTATACTGTAAATTATCCAAAAAACAAAAACAAAAAAATAAAAAAATTCAAAGGCTTCTTTCTTAAACATCTAAAACTAGTCAAATAAAACCATCCCAAAAAAATATTCCAAAATATCAGATAAGATTAGTTACAACATTATGTCCCTCCACTTAATTCCACATAACAGAGAGAAAAAAAAAGCAAATATTAGAACCTATCTCAAAAATTTCACTTCTTTCTTTCTCTCCTACATTTTCTTAACAACCAAACGCACACACACACAAACTAAAATGAGAAAAAGAACCTGGTTTCGAACTGGTTCATGTACGTTCCAAAAAACATATGTCTCGATCACGTCCAATCCTCCATCTTTAGATTTCTGTATAAGGTCCGGCCACATCTTCACACACACACACAAAAAAAAAAGGTTATACATACATAAATAATAATAAACAAAACAGCTAATTAAAGAGTGTTTGTTACTGTGTTTGATGTTACCTCGGGAGTGCTGCGAGGATAATGAATGGAGCCGGAGATGAGGACCCTACGCTTGCCATCAATCACCACCGCTCTGTGATCGTACGTTACATCAGCACCCAACGACTTCGTCGCAAGAATTCCCAACGCCAAGCACAAAACCACCAGAATCTCTCTGCCTCTCATATGAAGCATGGTATTAAACCATAAAAGCATACACTTTTCTCTATGTATTCCTATTTCTCTGTAAGTAATATCTTCTTCTACTGTAAAAAAGGATAACAGCGGTTAATGACTTGAAAACGCTTTCCTTCTTGAAATAGTTGCTTTTACTTTTTGTTTTGCTTTTCAGGAAGACGTCCTTGTTGCTTCCCACTTCTGCAAAACGAAAACTAAAACTAATTAACCTCTGTAAGAATCAAGAACATAAAGGTATCTTAAAGACAACCAGTTGGGTCTCCACGTCAACTATCGCTGTCTTGTCAATGTTTCACCGTAATTGAATTTAACTAGCTCGTTTACATTGATGGATAGTGTCTATTTGGTTCATCCATTTTGTGGATAAAGATATGCTCATGTGCCATCTCCGTTCTTACTTATCAACTGGATGTAGAGCATGGCAACCAGTGGAGCATACACTGTCAGTGAAGTGGAGCAGAAATCATGTGTCTGCTAGAGCATGTGTAATAATTCTACATCCACCACTTATCATAAACCTACTCGATATATCTCTGGATCTTCTGCATTTCTTAACTGGCTCTCTAAATGGTCCCGCCAAACTCTCCATCACAATTAACCTTAAAAACAGTATGCATTTAATTGAAGATCAGTAAATTAATTACAAAGTTTCAAGAGATTACCAAAGATATGCTAATTGGGTGAGTGACACAGAATTCACGAGGAGGTACAAGTTGGTGAAGCACAAAGAGTAATTGTCGGTGCCAGTTAGTGAAGCACAAAGTCCACCACCAACACCAACCATTCTCATTTGTCAAGCACAGAGCTTGACACATCAAGACAAATTATTGGTCAGTGTTATTATCGACATTCGTGCTCATAATTGTCTATGTATAGGAGTTTATAATTAAGGATTAGTTTATAGATATATTAAATGATTTAATCATAATGCCATCGATTCCACGACAAGGGTCATCTTCAAACACGGCATTGGCGTTAGTCTCGGATTAGAGCTGCGTCCTTGTCAAGCTCTTAAATAAACCTATTTTTTCCTGGCTTTTAATGGGTTGTTGCTACTCCATAATGCAAGGTTCGTAGAGATCATTCACACTGTATTAGGTTCATCATCTAAATGGTGAGATAGAAATAGAATCAAACACCCTTTCAACATGAGTTCCTTGAAACTAAAATTTTATAAAAATTCCATATTAAACATAATAAAACCATGGGGGGTATAGACATAGTTACGTGTAAATGCTGAATCCGCAATGTATTTAGTTTCATATGTTTTGTACCCATATACAATTACATTTGGATAAAATCTTATCGAGAAATTCCACGTCAATCCATGTCATTGGATTGTTGATTCAATTAACACGCGATTAAGAGGAAATGGGTTACGGAAAATAATTTGAAAAATTGAAGGATAAAAAGTGAACGCATTAAACACCATTGGATGGGTTGATGGTAAAAGAGCAAAGAAGAATCTAACATGACCTCTCAAATTCGAATCTCTTTGATAGTAAAAGAGTAAGAAGATGAGGATCTAACATAACCTCCTAAATTTGAGTTCCCTTGAGGGTAAAAGAGCAAGAAAATAATCTAATATGATATTCCGAATTCGAGTCCTCATGATTGTTAATATTGGTGGTTACTGGAGCTTGTACCCGATTGATAGTTCTAACATCTCGAAAGATTAGTTGAGATACGCGTAAACTGACTTGTCATCAAAATAGAAATAATAATTGTTAAAGTGGAAGCCTGAAACAGCGTCGTTTTGGGTAAAGGAATACGACGTCGTTTTAGGCATAATAACCGGGACAAATTTAGACCGCAGGATGCACTCTAGATCTAACGGCCAGAATTAGTCACTCAGTCAAACCATATATAAACTCTCTTTCGTGCAGAATAAAAGAGACACACATTTCTTAGGGTTTTTTCTGGGTTTGCATTTTCTGAGTTAGGGTTGAGATTATTATTCCAGATTGTGGTGTAATCAGTTCGAGTGGTTAGGGAGATTAATCATTCGGATGACAGTGTTGTTCTCTCGGGTTAGGGATATTTAAAGGGTATCTTGTTAGGCTGTTTGCAGTTTGTATTTGTGTAGATCTAGTGAGTGTCGAATCTGTGTAATCTTGATTGTTCTTGATAATAGAAAGTGCAGCGAGCTCATACCATTCCTGAGCTCAACGTGGATATAGCTTATCCATAAAAGGATAAGTGAACCATGGTAAATCGTGTCTTGATTGTGTGTCTGTTTTAATCTTGAATCTTGGTGTGATTGTTTTGTGTTGGTGAATAGATCAAAATTAGGCTTGAGTTCTAACAGTGGTATCAGAGCCATTTCTTGAAGTTGAAGATTCTACGAAATTAGGGTTTTGCGAATTTTGGATTTTTGCAAAATTAGGGTTTCGTGAAATTGGGGGTTTTTTCGAATCAGTAATTCCTTTGAGTCTCCAATTGGCTCCAGTGAGTCAAATCTTGACCAAGTGTAAGGGTATCTCGGCTGGAAAACCAGTAATCGCCTTAAAAACTGCATGGCAGTACTTGGCAACCTCTGGTGTAACAATGCCACGTACACCTTAGACTTTCCTTCTCTGCCGTTGTTTCGATAGAAGAAGTTTTTATGAAATTAGGGTTTTGCGAATTTGGGATTTTTTGCAAAATTAGGGTTTCGGGAAATTGGATTTTCGAATTAGTGATTCCTTTGAGTCTAAAATTGGTTATAGGGAGTCAAATCTTGATAAAGTGTAAGGGTATCTCGGCTGGAAAACCAGTAATCGCCTTAAAAACTACCTGGTAGTACTTGGCAACCTTTGGTGTAACAACGCTACGTACACCTTAGACTTTCCTTCCCTGCCATTACAAGTACAATGAGCACTACTCGTATGGAGATCTCCCAATACGATGGAAAGATCGATTTCGGGAGTTGGAAGAAGAAGATGAAAGCTCTCCTCTCACACAACAAGGTTACAATCGCGCTGGAAAAGGATCCCAAGAAATGGTCAGAAGAGAAACTGGAGAAGAAGGAAGAGATTGACAAAGAAGCTTATAATTTGATCGTGATGAATCTCTCGAACAGTGTCCTTCGGAAGGTAGATGGATTCGAAACTCCTCTTGGTTTATGGGGTAAATTAGAATCTTTATATGCCTTACAGTCTGCACCGAATTTGGCTTTCTTAAAGGGAGCCTTATTCTCTTATAAGATGGATAATTCGAAGTCCATTGAGCAAAATTTAGACGAATTTCTTAAGATGAATCTAATTTTGAAAGGCACAGACCAAGAACTAGGACAGACAAGTCGTGACATGATATTATTAAACTCTTTAACTGAAGACTACCAAGTAATCAAAAATGCTCTTCAGTACTCCAGTACTATACTTAGTGTTGATTTGATAGTTGCCGGTCTTAAGGCTAGAGAATTAGAGCTTAAAACTCTTAAGAAGAACAATAGCACTCTATTTGTGAAGGGTAGATTAGAACCTGGTCAGTCTAGTAAAGGATTTCAGCCAAATCAAGGGGGTAAGAATAAGAAGAAATGGAAGGAAACAATAAAACCAAAACAAAAACCAGGAAATGTTACTATTGTAACAAGACAGGCCACTAAAGAAAAACTGTTTTGACTGGAAGAAGAAATAGAAACTAGGTAATACAGAGAGTAACCTAGCCACCACTAGTAACCAAATGGATGAACCAGAAGTCCTAACAATGTCAATATCTGACACTACAAAAGAATGAGTTTTAGATTCAGGTTGTACTTTCCATATGAGCCCTAATAGGAGTTGGTTCCAAGACTTTGAGGATTTTGATCATGAGACTGTGTACATGGGGAACAACCAAGCATGTAGAGTTAAGGGAATTGGCTGCATAACCCTTAGGTTAAGTGGGGAAAAACTAATAAGGTTAACCAAAGTCAGGTATATACCTGACTTAAAAAGAAACCTCATATCATTAGGCACCCTAGATGAAGCAGGCTGCTGCTATAAGGAAAACAATGGGTGGTTGAATGTCTATAAGAATGAAAATCTTGTGCTGACAGGAGAAAAGAAAAATGGTCTCTATGTACTTTGTAGTAGTTTCTATTTTGATTGTAACAGCACAACTCTTGGGTCTCCAAATTTATCAGTAACTAAAAGGTGGCACTTAAGGTTAGGCCACATGAATCAGAAGGGGATGGATGTACTAAATAGGCTAGGACAGTTTGGGAAAGATACTGTCACTAGTTTAGAATTCTGTGAAAATTGTGTACTTGGTAAACAGCACAGGAATAGTTTTCCTAAGGGAGTTCACTTAGCAAACAACTGTTTGGATTATCTACATTCTAATTTATGGGGGCCAGAAAAGGTTAAATCTCATGATGAAAACAATTATTTCCTCTTAATAGTAGATGACTATAGCAGAAAGGTCTGTGTATTCTTACTTAGGTCAAAAGATCAAGCCCTAGAAAAGTTTAGAGAATGCAAAACCCTAGTTGAAAACTAGTCTGGCAGAAAGGTCAAAGCCTTTAAGACTGACAATGGGCTTGAGTTCTGTAATCTGGAGTTTGACAAGTTCTATAGTGAACAGGGGATCTTGAGGCATATGACAGTCAGAAATACCCCTCAGCAAAATGGGGTGGCTGAGAGAATGAATAGAACACTTCTAGACAAAGTTAGGTGCCTATTGATCACTTCAAACCTTCCAAAAACATTATGGGGAGAGGCACTCTCCACAGTTGCCTATTTAGTGAATAGGAGTCCCTCCACAGCAATAAGTCTAATCAGTCCAGAAGAAAGATGGTCTGGAAGAAGACCAGAACTAGGGCATCTAAGAGTGTTTGGCTGTGCTGCATATGCTCACATAGTGGGGGGAAAACTGGAACCAAGATCAACTAGGTATGTGTTCCTTGGATATCCTGAGGGCACAAAAGGATTCAGGCTGTGGGATAGAGAGTCACCAGGGGTCAGGATCATAGTGAGCAGGGATGTTGTGTTTAATGAGGGAGTATTCCCATGCAAAGGCATTAACCCTGATAAAGGTACCACCGAAAGCACAGAAATAGTTACTAGACAGACTAATACCACTCAGATTGAGGTGGAGTCCACAACCCATCAATTAAATCCACCTCAAGCATAAGCACAAACTACCCAGCAGCCTGAAACTGAAAATGCATCTGAGGAACCTAATCAAGCTGAAGATGAAGAAACAGAAGAGTTCCTAGAACCAGAACAAAATGAACTGACAAATTATCAACTGGCCAGAGACAGAACAAGAAGAGAGGTAAAACCACCCTCAAGGTATTCATACGTAGAACTAATTTACACTGCTCTGCTTGCAGGTACTGAGGTGTTTAGGTCTGAACCTGATACATATCAAGAGGCCATGGAATCCAAGGATAGGGACAAATGGAGAACAACTATGGGGGAGGAAATGCAATCTTTAAAGGTAAATGAAACTTGGACATTGGTTCCAAAACCAAGTAATCAGAAGCTGACCCAATGTAAGTAGCTATTCAAACTTAAAGAGGGCATTTCCATAGCTGACCTACCTAGGTATAAAGGCAGACTTGTGGCTAAGGGCTACACCCAAAGGGAGGGGATAGACTTCAATGAAGTCTTCTCCCTTGTAGTAAAATACAAAACAATTAGGATGATGCTGTCTGTAGTTGCATATCAAGACTTGGAATTAGAGCAGTTAGATGTCACCACTACATTCCTTCATGGAACACTAGAAGAAAAAATCTATATGAGCAAGCCTATGGGGTTTACTGACCCTAAGTTCCCTGACCATGCATGCCTTCCAAAAAGGTCTCTATATGGGTTAAAACAGTCTCCTGGGCAATGGTACAAAAGGTT